AGAATCTATAGATATAAAAATAAACAAAGATGACGAATAAGATAAATATTTGTATAAATCTAAACTTCCAAGCTTTCACCACAACCCAGCCTTACAGTATACACGTTCTCGTTACTACAAGTCACGATTTTTCAAAGAAAAAGCGTGACAATAGCAATAGTAATGGCACAAAAATTTGGCGGTACTGTGACCTCCAAGCTGATCGATGATCCGAATTGAGCCAAGGGGTTCTACGTACAAAACTTTAACTAATCACGGTGACATACAGTTATTTTGATAATTTTTGTTTTTAGTTTCAGTAGTATTGAATTTTCGAATCTCAGTAGTTGAGGATGTTACTTTTCAGACACTTGCGATTCCAATTTGGCTCAGAAATCATGGTACCGCCGAAATTTTGTGCCATCAATATTTCACTCATAAACTTTATATTAGCATCATTATTGTAAATTTATTTATCAACAACTTTATTTTACATACGTACCATCATCAGTTGGATCATTCTTATAAAACTTACGCTTTTCTAATTGATTTGATATATTGCCAATCATTAGATATTCTGAACTTCTATAATTTATGTTGATAGATTGATAGTAAACTGAAGTTTGACTGTTGCATAAATCCATTTTTGAAAGTTGTCTATTTTGAATAAAAGTTTATAGAGTTTGTTATTTAGAACGTTATTATTAATTAAATAAATGGAGGTTTCAGAATTAACTTATTTGAGTGTTGCAGAGCGAAAACTTGTAACCAGTGTTTAATTTTCACGTGTGCGGGTCCAATCAAATTATAAAATAATGCAATTTAATTGGTGCATGCATGTGGAAAATAAACACTGCCTACAGGTTTTTGCTCGAAAATTCTATTTTAAAATTCCGACTCGGAGAATTAAATAGGCGCACACGGTAATTAGCTTTTTCTAATAAATATCTACCGGTAAACGATTATGTAAATATATGCGTTAAGAAAAATAAATTTTATGGATCACATATTTTGAGTAAATGCGTCACTTATTTTTTATCCAAATCATTTATTCTGAAACCCCAATATGTGTAATATGTGTAATCTGTAATAAATTATAAAAAACACGCTTAGCGTTAACTTGCTTACCCTTCTTTATCTATAAAATTAGATTAAAAAAAAAAAGCAAACAAAAAATTTTTTATCGAAAATCCTACATTCCTACATCTCATATTACAGTATATTAAGGAAAATCGTAAAATAGTTACCATTTCTTGAGTTGTTTATCGAATAGATGTTTGATAAAATAGAATAACCTGTTTGTTTATAAATAAGTAATTTCAAATATATTAAAGAAAAAAGAAAGATATAATAGTAAGTTTAGAAAACATACTTGTAAGACTATTACTGTTTGACTTTATCCATAACGCTGTGTTAATTAAAGAACTTAATGGTCTACTAGTATATATTGCCTGTGCGTTTATTTTTTTGTTAGGCACATGTATTATATTTTCGGGGAATTTTATTTCTTTATTATCTAACTTCTCTTTCATAGTACTAATAGAACCTCCAATATAATAAGCACTTGGCCTGTTTAATGGATTTGCGTCCCAACATTGTTTCATTAAATCAATATAAGACTGTGGTAAATCGTTATTTAATTCAGGACGAAGACCATTAAGTATATCAAGAATAAGTAATCCATCGTGATTACGATCAGAAAAAGGCTTTTGGCCAATTGTCATTTCCCACATAACCATTCCAAAACTGTAAATATCTGATGCTGTCGTATATTTTTCTCCATTAAATATCTCCGGTGCAATATATGGAATCACACCATATATCTCTTTTGTATCTTTTATCGAATTTGCTGGTTTGCTTATTCCAAAATCTCCTATCCTTATACTTCTCAATAATGAATTTGGATCATCAACAAGTATATTACCACTATGAAGATCTCGATGAATAATTTGTTTATGATGAATATGAAAGAGTCCCATTGCTATATTGTTTAATATTTCAAGTTTTTGTTTCCAAGATAAATTAAGAAAGTTTTTTGAAATATAATTATGTAAATCACCGTTTTGTGCAAAGGCCATTACAATCATATAATTTTTTGTTTCCGGATGACGTGTGATACCATAATAGTGATTTATATGAACACTATCTCGATCACTCTTGCAATAATTTTGTAACTAAATAAAAGAAGTAAATAAGTTAACTAATACTGTAATAGAATTTAACAAAATAAGTTCAGATAAGTGACATACAGTAAATGTAATTGTAACAATGCAAACCTCGTTTAAAAAATCTTGACTTATAACTTCGGAATTGTCAAGGCTTTTAAGAACAACTGTTGAAATGTCAGACATTCTAAATGTTTGCGAATAACTATCCCAGTTACCCTTTATCTTATTAACACATGTTGCTTTGTATATTTTGCTAAACCCACCTTCAGCGAGATAAGTGACGTCACTAAACTTTTCGTATGGAATAAATTCTATAGTTTCACAAACGGCAAATTGTATATTTATCTTAGCAAGCCAATTATCTATAACTTTATTACCACTAAATATGATGTTATCACAAAAATTACACTGTTGGGCATTATGATCCTTATGTTGTCTTTTCCTTTTGCATTTTTTACATTTTTTATAACATTGATTGCAAGCATTACATTGTTTGGCATTATCATCCCTATGAAGCGTTCTTCTCTTGCACTTTTCACACGTTTTAAAGCCTTGTTTAAAGACTTGATAAGTCATGGTTTAATAATATGCTACAAATCTGATAATTGTAAATGATTATAATATAAGATCCATATAAAAAGTAATTAAAATACGTAAATTTAACAGTTTCCAGAGATAAGTTCATGCTGATATATATATATATTTTTAGATTGCAAACAGAAACAATAAAATTAGTTCTAAGAATATTCTTTGTTTCTATATCAAATTATTGTATATAGAACAGAAAATTTCTCATTGTAAACCAAAAAATTTTTTTAGAATTCTTTAATAACAACGTGTAATGATAACGTTTGATATTAACAAAAAATATCTATTATAAACGTTACCTGTTATGTAGCATTAAAACAAAGAAACCGATACATAGTAATCATTAAAACGTATGTGCACTTACGTACGTACGTACGTACAGTGACCTCCGTAAGTATAAAACGGTCACACAAAAATCATAAATTTTAATAAGCAAATTTAATAATATATTATTATTATGCAAATGCAATACATAAATATGATATAATACATCAATATTTGCAACTATAACCTCCATTTTCAGTATGACATACTATTAATTAAATTCATAAAGATTTATGAATCTAGGTTTTCCCATTCGTCTAGAAGTGCCGTTTTCAAGGCTTCGTAAGTGTTTGGAGGTGGCCTTCGTTGTTGAACGTTGTCCTTTAATATTTTCCACACATTTTCTATTGGATTTAAGTCAGGCGATTGCGCTGGCCATTTGCATGAAATGATGTATTTGCATGAATTTATGTTGTTTTTTTGTAACCGTTTTATACTTTCGGAGGTACATGCGTATTTACAGGAAGAATGGGATACGACTAAAATTAAAGAATGTCATAAAACTCTAAGGGGCATGTGTATAAAGATTGTGACTGAAGAATTTTCTCGACAATTGCCGAAATTAATAAAGATTATGTATTGTGTATGGTTATTTTTGTAGATTTTCAATTTTGTAATAATCTTTGTAATAATCTTTGTAATTAAAAAAATGAAAGTACTGTTACACCTCTTATAAGTTTGGTATAACTAATTTACTTTAGCGATGGTATGTTAAACGATTGATAACAATAACCTGTTTATGCTTAAGTAGGTTTATTGCGGATACGAAAGAGGCAAACAGCTAAATGTATATGAAGATACAAGTACTGTAGTCGTGTAAACAAGTTTATAATTTATTTAATAAAGTACTCTATTTATTATTGAGTTGTTGACTACTGCCTTTGCGAAAGAGGCATCATGGCTATATATTTTAGAGCATTATGATTTCTTGCTATTACGTATATCTACTAGTTATATCATCTAAAACAGATCAGTGGATCAAAAATTATTCATTATAAAAGCTATTTTTAGAACAATTTTAAAATTCTTATTAAAATTATACAAAATTTGAACGATCTCAGGATTCTGTGATTGGATTTTGATGATTTGAACTCGTTGGAATCATTTCGTTGAGATGAACATTTTGGTAGTTGAACCATCCAAAACGGATCAGTAGATAAAAAGTTACTGGCTAATTTTACAAATTAGCCCATATGATCTTTGCGCGACATGCTTGAAGTATTAAATGTTGCCGAAGTGGTATCTTATGAACCTTCATAAAAAATTATTATTCACTGCGATTTTCATAGTGGAATATACTTATTAACGAAGATTCCAGATTTCATTCTCCATGTGCAAAAATCATTGACTTTGAAAGAAGCAAACCAATAAATGCGCAATCAGATCGAGATGTTGTTATATATGGAATAATTTCATATGTGGCTCCTGAAGTGTTAAGAACCTTACACTAAACAATGTGGTATCTATAGCTAAGCATGATTATATGGGAGATAACGAGCGGACATAAACCATTTTATGATCAAGAACATGATACTGATTTTATTTTTCGATTCTGGATGGTTTCCGTCCTGATTTCGTTGACGGTATCCTAAAACACTTGTCCAATTAATCAATAAATGTTGGGACAATGATGTTTCAAAGCGTCCAAACGCTTCTGACATTAACTCCGAAATAAATCAGATATTAAAAATAGCGAAAGTGGACCGTTTCTTTCCGAAATTACTCTTTCATATATTCAAAAGATTTGTTCAAGAACAATATATAAAAGTCGCTTGTTGAGTTCTTTTATCAGCAGTACTTTAGCTTTACGAAACATACATTCAATTGTAAATATTATAAATTTATTTATTATAGTCTTTTGAAATAAATGTTAATAATATATTTTAAATAAAGAATCCACTATAATGAATACCGATTCATCAAGTAGTGGTGATTTTTCTAATTTTACCTTTAATAATATGGTTAATAATTTCATTGATCGAGTTACTTTTTTTATAACAAATTACATCTCTCGAGAAATTGGTTTAGATGTACTTGAGTCGAGTCTCATGGTCATGTAATCTAACTAAAGTGGCTCTGAACAATCGAACATGTTTCTAAAATTGCTTGTTAAGTTCAACTCGTATTACTTTTGTTACAATTGTTCTAATCGAAACATTACAGGTAGTTTTCATTATCTGCGAGGGTATATAATATTTTTACTTAATAATAAATAAATAAATAAGTAAATAAATAAAATAAATAAATAAATAAATAAGTAAATAAATAAAATAAATAAATAAAGAAATATTATATTCATAACACCGTGTTATTATAACACCCTATATGTCTTACTTAGGGTTAGGGTCCAGTTTTAAGATACATAGGGATTTTTTATTATACAATATATATTAGACATAAGGTCCTAATAGGTCCCAATTTCAGTTTCCATGAGGTTTTCAGGGGCGCTGATCATTTTTACTTAGAGTACCTACACCCATTTACTTAGTACGTTTTTGAGATATTGCAAAAGGTGTTATATAACACGGTGTTATGAATATAACTTTCCATAAATAAATAAGTAAATAAATAAAATAAAATAAATAAATAAATAAAATTTGATTATATAAATGAAATTAATGATCTAGCAGAATTTTAGGATTAGGACGGGCCGGGTTTTTTAATTGATCAATTTGACCCGGGTCAAGTTTAACTTGACCTAAAAACCAATTTGACCAGTAATATATATATAACATATTATTTTTCAATTTTACCTATTAATTTTGCTAAATATGAGTTTTCTAAGATATACATTTTTATTAGCAGTTAGCCAGACATGTATTGGTCGAGTACGTACGTACCTTTTGAATGTGTGCCAGATTGACAGCACAGTAATCAGCAACGTAATTTTCGTAAATCAAAATTATTACTGCCTGTAGTACCCCAGATCTTATTCAAAAAACCAAACTAGATTGAATGGTAGCTGGGATACCGTGTGAGGATGGGTGTACTATACAAAGGGAAATTTTTATATACCACAATATATTTAATAATATAACCTATGTGCGTACTATTCAACTATTCAAAAAATGTTTGAATAGTACTCCGGTACTGGGGGATACTTTATCAAAAAGATGCGTAGGTAATGATACGTATCCGGTACGGTATATAAATGATCATTTTGAAATTTCCAACAATAGAGCTTGGATCAGTTATCCGTTTTCATATTAAATTTAACGGATATCCGACTGATTTTACTATTACATTAAGTATCCAACGGATAACAGATCCAGCCTCTAACTCAACTAGATACAAACTGGCTTTATGAATTCGTGTAAAAGATACTTAAATTTATTAGAAATTTTGTTATCGATATTTCTATAAATAAGTACATAATAGTAATTTTATTGACATGTTTTTTTTTTCATGCCATACAATATTAAACAAAATTTAAATTACGAGTGTTTCAAAATATAATAGAAAAGGAATTCATAAAATATTGGGCAAAAAGGCAAATAACATACAAGTAGACATGGTAACTAATATAATAAAAAATAAGTATGCATTTAATCCATAAATTAAGATAGTAAATGTTCGTAAAAAATTCTTCAACCCAAAAATTTCTTTATAGCATATCCTTTGTCATTACACTAAAATTAAAATAGAATATTGATATATGGATAATTATTACGTCGCTAACCTTGCACCCGTTCAAGAGATGCTTTAATCACTCGGAGAAAAATTAACAAATCTTATTTCGGTTTATAATAAAAATTAATCTATATTAATCGGTATTGATTCTTGATCAATGAACTCTTTAGTAATTCTGAAAGGATTTGTAATAAGGATGGAAAGTTTCAAAGTTTAATAAAATTCGTAAGTAATTTGAGTATTTAATATTGCCGGCTAATGAATGCTCCAGTAATGCCAAAAGGGTGAAGTAGTAATAATATTATTATAAGTATGAAAGGTTCCGAAGTTTAATTAAGGAATCGGAATTCTTCTGTAGTAAGTTCATTAAGTTAATTGATGTGGTATTTTGATTATTTGGTGTTAGTTTTTGGACAATAAATGCTCTAACAGTTTTGAAAGGTGCTGTAATAACACTATTATAAGGGCTTGAAATTTCAAAATTTTAACAAGAAGATTAGAATTCTTCAGTAGCAATTTTATAAGAGTTAATTGACGTAGTATTTTAATGATTTAACATTAGTCCTTAACTAACAAACTCCGAAAGAAGGAATAATGTAAGTATATGCAGTTTCTAAGTTCGAATAGAAAACTGAAACTCTTCATTAGTAGTTTCATAAGGAATTATTTGGAGCTTGTTCTTGATCAATAAATACTTCAGTAGTTCTAACACCATCATAAGGATATGAAATTTCAAAATTTGATGAAGAGTATTGGAATTCTTCGGTAGCAATATCATAAAAGTGAATTGGCATGGTATTTTGATTATTTAACATTAGCCCTAGATCAACGAACGCCTCAGTAGTTCCAATAGTACAAGTATGTGCGGTTTCAAAGTTTAAATAGGAGGCTTGAAATTCTTCGGTGGTAGTTTCATAAGAGTTGGTGGATGTGATATTTTGATTATTTGGTGCAGGTTTTTGATCAATAAACGCATCAGTAGTTTTAAAAAAGGGTATTGTAATGATATTGTTATAAAGATGTGAAGAAAATTGGAATTCTTCGATATTGGTGTTACGAAATTTAATATTGAGAGGAGATTGAAAATTAGGAAACCTAGGCTTTGGCCCGCGTTTTCTACCCCAGGTATAAGTACAATGAAGCCTGTGGTTTTTACAGTATGCACATATGTCCTCTTTAGAAAGTCTTTCGCATCTTCGGTGACTCGCTCGACAATTTTTACATGCTAGACTCGCATTAGTACGTGGTCTTTTTGGTTTACTTAATTGAGACATTTAGGATATCTAATCTGTGCGTGATAAGTTTTAGTTACTCTGGTAATAGTAGTAATATTATGATCTTTAAATAAATATTATGAGTAGTAAACAATAATGATATTCGATGAAGACGTAAAAAAAAGCTTTCAAGAGAAGGCTTTTTATATTTAGAGCAAGCTCATGTTTTTTTCATGTTTTTTAAAAGGACGCGTGACATTAAAAAAAAAAAAAAAAAAAAAAAAAAAAAAAGGTCATTATTTTTATGCAGGATTTGTTTCATCACAATTAAATAATGTAACTTTTAAATGAAAATCAAGACCGTCTTTATCTTCAACAAAAGGCTAATGGTTACTATACAAAAAGAATCCTTGGTCCTGGGGTACTTAAAAGCGAAGTTTCTAGTGTATATCATATCTATATATTAAACTATATTTAATACTATATATGTACCTACAAAAACAACGAATAAAATAACATAATAAGTATAAAAAAGGTATGTACGTATTACCTAAATATTAATGTATACGTATAATATACGTTGCGTTAAGGTGTGTAACGGCCTATTAAAATCATAGACAGGGCACTCTTTGACCTAACTAACAGGCCAGGTTATATTGTTTCTTAAAAAGTGAAGTTATGGCTACACTATAATAGAGCCATTTTTGTAACTATTTTATATCCGAAAATATATAGGAATAATTGCCTAATTTTGAAATGTAATACGTTAATCCCGTCAGAAGTTCAGTCTATGCAGAATGCATCTACGTATCAACAAATTATTTGTTTATTATTCAAATTTCAAGATATTGTTTTGTTTCGACACAATCTACAGGAACAAAACATTCGCAACTCCACATTTAATTTAATAGGCTATTGCATACCCTAGCATTATATAATACCGTATATATTAAAAAAGCGTATACATAGCATATATATATTAGAATATGCGTGCGTCAGATATACTAACGTGTATGGCTTGTATGAATATACTACGTATAATCAGATTGCATTTATGTAACAAAAATATTGCATTGTTTCAAATAAAAAATCGCAATCAATGATGATCGTAAATAACCTGCTTATATTAAAAAATTAAAAAATCGTATAGCATATATACACACTAGAATGTGCGTCAGATATACATACTAACTTGTATAAATAAATATATATATCTGGAATCTGTAATCATCAGAAGTTCAGTTCATGCAGAGTGCACTACATAACAAACCAACCAATTACTTGATAATCATGAGCGCCTTTATGCTACGTAAGAAAATATGACAGGAATTTAGTTTATGCAGTATTTACGCAACAAATTACTACATAGAAACCCAACATCACTAGTGAAAATTTCGTTGCCGACGTTAGGGTGTGCTTAAAATGCTCAAATCTGCTTAATAGATTTGCTCATTATAGTATTCCTATAACTACTTTTTGATATGTGACTAATTAAACTTATTAATATGGTTTTAGCAATCGGTAATATTAAGATTACTATTTTAATACTCATAAACGGAGTTTATGATTAAACACTGCTTAGAAGCAACTATTTGTTTCGAGAATGATTTTTTAATTCAATCAAACTTATTACTATCTTTTAAATAAAGTTACCTATAAACAATTAATCTAATCCATTTTCAAGTTATTTAAAGAACTACAGTATTTTATGTTATGTGAAGCAGATAAGGGCGCTGACATTTATTAGGTAATATTTTAGGGGGTGGGGGGGTAAAGCCAAACCTTACCTCAATATAATACTAAAATTTAATTGGGTAATAAAAATATTACCTGGGGGGGAGG